GGGTAGGACATGCTGAGTTACGGCCAGTGTTCAGAATTGGTGTCATAATTCACACACGCTTCACAGAAAACACTGCTTTATTCTGATAAAGAGTACCTACAGCTTACGTCATGACTAAGAGAATATTGAGCAGTACTCCCTGCGATTAGGAATTAGGGTGGTGCCCAGCATCACTGATCCTATCGAACGTTATTCTAGAAGTCTAGCCAGAGCAATAAGACAAGAAAAAGGAGTAAGGTTTATAAAGATGGGAAAGGAAGAAGTAAAAGCATCATTATTTGCAGGTGATATGATTGTAAACATGGGAAATACAAAATATTCTGCAAGCACATTATTAGAATTAATAAGTAAATTTAGCGAGGTCACTGAATATAGGAATAAACAAAAATCAATTGTATTTCTGTATACTAGGTCTAGTAGTTTTTACAACTTTTTAGTTTGGGACAATTTTAGGTTTACAGCCAGGTGGCAGAGAAGGTGCTGGTGTCCCTGTGTGTCCCTTTAGTTGAGCATCTCATGGGACCGTGGCACCTTTGTCAAAGCTGAGAAATTCCTGTTGGCACACCACCACTGGCTGAGCCACAGAGCGTAATAGGGTTTTTCCAGGTTTCCCCAGGTTTTGCACCGATGTGCAAAACCCCCCGGGGGTTTCTGCCCCGGGACCCGGTCCAGGGTACTGCTCTGCGTTTGGTCGTCCTGTGCCTCCTTTGTCCCGTCTGGACCCTGGCAGTTTCTCACTCTTGTTCTTGGCGCTTTGAGGAGACTGTTGGGTGTTTTGTGGGTGTCCCTCTACTTGGGTTTGTCAGGTGCCTTCTCATGATTACCCTGGTTATGGGTTTTTGGGAAGAAGGGCTAGGAGTTCAAGCAGTGCCCGCCATCTCTCCACTTGCCCTCCCTGCCCTGCAGCCGGGGCCAGTCAGTGGGTGCACCCCACCCTTCGGGGGGGCACCTGCATGTGTTGTTTGGGATTCTCCTGTAATTCTTCCTGTTCAGTGGCCTCGTGGGTGTTCTGTTCCCAGGGTGCAGTCCCACGCTGTCGTGTTTAGGGGCTCAGGTCGCCCCAGCTCTTTCTCCTTTCCCTCTTGTCCTGTGTCCTTTCAACATGCCCCACCCCCACAGGTCTTTGCTTTGTGGCACTACCAGATACTTCTGCTTTGTACTTTCTCCACTCCAGCCCTAGAATCAGCCATTCTGCCATTTCTCCAAAAATCTCTGGTCCCTTTTTTGGGAGAACGGTATCTGCAACCCAATATCTGGATACGGGGTGTGCCTGATGCTACTGGGGTGTCACTGTTTCCAGGCCACTGGTTCTCGGGTAATAGTTTGCCCCCCCCGGGCATATTGAGTGATGTCTGGAGACACTGGTTGTCACAACTTGGGGGTGCTGCTGGCATCGGGGGGTAGAGAACGGAGGTGCTGGGAGCTGCCCCTGCAGTGCCCAGGGCCGCCCACAGAGATGGTCCGATGAGAGCTAAGCCCCACGCGGCCCTGCGGAGGGTGTGCTAGGAAGCGCATGTGTATACCAACCCACATGTCCACACACACCTAGCTTCCCCACCAGCTTTTCGGCAGCTTTGTTCTCTGACAAGCAGGAGGCTGGCAACCTTATCTATGACGTACTTATTGATGAGCCCTTGTGTGTAAGGAAAGTAGCTTTAGGATTGCTCATCTGGACTCTGGTGAGAAGTCTGTCCCCTGACTGGAGTGCAGTCCTTATGTGGTCTTGGGCCTCGCCCTTTCCCTTCAAACCAACTGTTTCCCATGGTGAAGTAGGTCAGCCCCCTAAAGCGGTGGGAGGTGGGTGAAGAGACAGGGCAGCCCCTCCCACAGCGTGCCCCCGAGACCCCCCCTCACCTGTAGAGCAGGCTTTAAACAGCAATAGCGGCCATAGGAAGCGACCCCAAACTGCCCCTGTCTGCAGGGCCATTGTGGTGGGGGGCCAGCTGACGGGGTCCCCTTTCACAGGCCAGAAGCCCCTCTCAGAGCAGGGAGTGCATCCGCCCCATAGCACGCAACGAACGGACGGACCACTGAGTTGTTTAGCACAGTATAACCCAGCACTCTGAGTGGCGGCCAGGGCTGACGCTGTTTGGTTATGCTGGTGATTCTGTGGTCAGACCTGGCACCAGGGTGCAGGTGGGTTGCTGGGCACTCCCTCCTGACTGGACACCACTTCCCAGGCCAGGGCCTGGCTGCCCGGGGCTCCGCAGGCCTTCTCCAGAAGGCGGCTCATGGGCCGGCTGGCCAGACATCTCTCTCTCTCCATCTCTATTCAGCCCACTAGGGCTACCTTGGGCTTGTGCCAGCATGGTGGTCTTGGGGGTAGTCAAACATCGCACATAGTGAGGGCTTTCCCCAGAGCCTCAGTACACTGAGCCAGCCTCCATCTGGCGCAGGAAGGGACTGCACAGGGTGGGTGGGGGGAACCTGGGAAACAAGGCTCCTTGTGGGGCCTAAGGGGCTGTCAATTCACCTAAAGAAAAACCCATTGATTTGATTAGACCAGTGAAGTGGAGGGAGACCCTGGTCTTATGGCCTTTCTCAGGAAGGAAGAGACACCAGGGTTTAGTGATTTTAAGGTGGGTAAGGACAGAAATCACCCACCCACCCACAACGGGGACACCAGAACCACCTAACGGTGGCTGCTACTGTCCAGTGACTTTCCTCTTCTGGGACTCTCCTGCCACGCAGAGGGCTTCATCATTCATTACAGGGATGTTCCCAGATGATTCTGCCACAGAAAACATCAACCATTTATGTCCCCAAATTCTCTGAACCCCTGGCCTTCCACCTCTCCTTTTGCAGTGCCCACCAATCCTAAGCTCTTCTATCAGGACCCTTCGCAGTGGGTGCCTCAAGGAACACCCTTGCCTTGCCCTGGGGAGGGAGGGGCTGGCTGTCCTGCCCTGAGGCTCTGGGTGAGGTTGGTGGCCTGCTGTGGCGTGGGGCCTGCCACGGGGGACCCTGCTGAGGCTGGGCAGAGTCTGTGGCAGAGTAGCTTTGGGGCTGCGGTGCGGTGGGGCCTTGGTGGCTCAGCGGTTTTGGGTGGTTTGCAGGTAGATGTTTCCTGCAGCAGAAGGAGTCTGCTTGCTCACAGGCCCGGGGGTTCCGGGGTTCAGTTCTGGTGGGCCCTGAATTAAGCGAATCGGCAGATCTGTCCCTTGTCCATGCCGCCCAAGGACACGGCTGTGGCTAGGACTTCTTGTCCCTTGTGCCCTCAGGAGCACCCCTGGAGTTGTCTCTGGCCACGAGGGGAGCCCACCCTGACCCCCCAAAGCAAGTGTCACTTTGGAGACAAACAAAATAAGGCCTATGGAAGCCGTCGTGGTAGAAATGATTTTATTTAGAAATCTGTGCCAGTGACATTCGGGCGACATGCAGACAGTCGTGCTTAAGCTGAAAGCCCAGTCACTTTCCCGTGAACAAATCGTTAGGACTGGAATGTGTATTTGCGCCAGACACTAACTCAGTTTCAGGCTCTGTGACACTACCTTTGTTAAATTCAGAATCCGGGAATGTAGGTGTTTAGTAGAACATAATCCTCATACAAAAGCCACCCCCCCGCCCCCGCATCTGCATGGTGGGAGGCACTGAGTCCCTCTTCTGTTCTGGATGTCTTGGATGAGTTTATGTGGGAAACACATCTTGACATTACAGACTCAGCATTCTATCACAAGTAACGGTTTTCCCAGAAATACCACTAGCTGGTTGTTCTAAAGAATCACTGATTCTGAAACAAGAGAACCACCTCCGGTCTCCCAGCGATTTGCAGCGTAAGAACGTTGGTGCCCAGGATGGTGCCAGGGGTCTGAGCTCCCTGTCGTGAGGGATGCGACTGCACCTTCCTGGTCCCAGTACATCTGGCCGAGTGTGTCTTCCACCTGCTGAGCAAAGGCCCAACACCGGCCGTTTGGAAACAGAGCCCCGGGGAAGAGCTTGGAACCATCCAGGCAGCACACGTCATCTCCTCCACTGCTCGGACAAAGCACTAGTGAAGGCAAGCGGCAGGAGCCTGGGCATAGGTGTGCGCAGCGCATGCATGGCTGTTGAGGCAGATGGGGCGCAGGCCCCAGGCCTGAGGCCCCCAGACCCCCAGGTGGGACTGGGGGATGCTCTCAGGGCCCCTGAGGCCTTGAACCTGCTCTGGAGCTGCTGTTTGTGACCTGTGTGCTTTGCTAGGAAGCAGAGCCTTGCAGGCCTCACCGGGAGCTGTTCTAAGTGGTGGGGGTTGGCAACGGTGGAGGGCACACGGGGCCACGGGCACTGGGGGCTGCCAGTGTGGAGCTGTGAGGTGCTCACCAGCAGCAGGAAGCTGGGCCGGGACAGAGACCCCATCAGGCCTGCTGGGGCAAGGGCTACAAAACTCAGGCACCCCCACATGGGCTGGAATGGGGGTGAGCTGAGCTGGGCCCCTAGAGGGGGGTCTGGAAGGAGGGGTCAAGGGAGTGTGGCGGGGAGGTTGGGGGTGTGGGGAGAGGTCTGAGGAGTGTGGGGGGAGGTTTGGGGGTGTCTGAGTGGAAGCGGGGAGGTCTGGGCATGGGAGTGTGGACCCAGGTTGGGGCTTGGGCCACTGGGAAGCCTCAGGGCCCCAGTGGAAGGTTTTGGAAACCCCTGGAACCTGTGATTGGCATAGGGGTCAGAGGTCATTTTGGTCCTTGGTTGCTGGGCAGACATAAGCCAGACTCATGAAAACACTGCTCTGAGTCAGGGTGGGTGGGTGTGGGGTTTTGGGGGGCGGGATCCCTGGGCACTTGGGGGAGAGCGGTGTATCTCTAAGAAGTATAAATGGGTATGTGGCTCCTGGGGAGGTTACTTATTCTATTTCTGTTTTAATCTTTAAATATAGTTTTACACTAACAGAAACACCCCGACCTCCACTGAAACCTGTCCTCTCGGGCTTAGCCAGGCCCTGAGCCTCCCCCTCCTGGTGCCCCCCGGCCAGGTACCCCGCCGCCCGGGCTGAGCCCCGTGCCCCACACTGTGCTGTTGGGCTCCCTAGTCTACAGCGGCAGGTGTGTGCTGGGACCGTCTGGGCCGGGGCAGCAAGCGGTGCCTCCTTTCTACCTGGGTCTTTGGAATCCCCACCACACCCACTGTCCCCGTCACTGAAACGTGGCCTTCATTCTCCGTAACTTGTCCTGGATCTTCCGGGAGTGCTTTTCGCTGCTGATCTGGTGGAAGGAGGCCCTGTTGTCTGCCGCTAAAATGGAAATGTCGGCCCCGCTGAAGCGTGCGATTCTTTGCTTGAGGTAGGACTGCAGCTTGGGGTCGGGCGCGAACGTGTAGGGGTTCTCCTGGAACGCACGCACCTGGCTCACCACCTTGGCTATGTTTCTGTGGGGGGCGTGGAGATGTGGACTGTTAGTCTGCACGAGCCTGTGCTTGCGAATTCCCAGCGCATCCTGGGAAGTGTCTAACCCAAACCTCTCCCAGTACAAACTCTGGGGTACCTCATTTCAGTACCCAGGCCTGTCTGCTCACCCGCGCTCCCATCCACCCCTCTGCTCGTGCCTCTGTCTGTTGGTCCATCCAGCCACTCTTCAGTCCATAAACATGTGCTGAAGATCTGTGTTGGGCCTGGTTGGTGCTAAGGGTTCTGACATGAATACACCCCAGTGTCAGCCCCTGCGCGCCCATGGAGGAGGTAGAGGAGATAGATGCAGGGTCACTTAAGGGTGTACTCAGGGGTCACTGGGCACATGTTTCTCCCCAGCTCTGTGTTCAGGGACATCATGATCACGGCTCAAGAGCCACCATCACGAAAGTATTTACACCCTGGGCATTGGCCAGTGCTCGCACCGGGACTCACTTCCCAGGAAAGCGGGAAGTTGGTGACCACACACCCCTGGGTGTCATCCAAGAAAGCGGGGACCACGAAGCAGAAGTCGGTAATTCTGCCTGAGGGAGGCTGTGGACTTCACATTCTCATCCTGATTGTGGATGAAGAGACAGCACCTCCAGAATGAAGGACTGCACTTTGGTGATTAAAAGACAAACACGCGGGGGCGCCCGGGTGGCTCAGTCGGTTACGCGCCCGACTCCTGATTGGGGCTCAGGTCATGATCTCCAGGTCCTGAGGTCGAGCGCCACGTGGGGGCTCTGTGCTGGGCATGGAGTCTGCTTGGGATTCTCTCTCCCTCTGCCCACCCCCCCCCCCGCCCATCTCTCTCCCTCAAATAAAGACAAACATGCATATATATCCAGACCTAAAACAGAGTGAAGAAGAGTCATCATTAGGCCTCTGCCCACGCTCCTTCGGGATTGTGGCCTCTCCTCTTGTTAGTTTCCATTTTGCTGACACGGACCAGTGTGCCTCTTAAATAACTTTTTAAGTTGGTGACCAAAAGGAGGCTGGAACCACTGGGCTGCAGGTCCCCTGGGCTGTGCCAGCTGAGATCTGCCCTTGACCCTAAGGGGTGTGCAGCTGGACCGTGGCCTGGCCAGCCTCACCCGTCTGTACATGTGGGTGATGCAGAGAGGTGGAAGGGGAACAGGTGGGTCCAAGGCTGTGGGGGTGCAGGCCTCTGGAGAAGGGCTGGCCCAGGCCTGTGAGATATGGGGGGGCATCTCCGATGAGGCCTGGAGCCCCCAGTGGAGGAGGGCTGGAGGGAGCTTGTGGCTTCCGAGGCAGAGATGAGCATGGCCCTCTTTGTCGGGGGGCACCAAGGTGGTTTTCACAAGCAGCCCCCAGTCTGCACCTCCCAGGTGTGCTGGGCCCGCAGGGGTGCTGGGCAGGGGAACCGTGGCACCACCGGAGCAGGCTGAAGACTGGCCGCGGGTGCTGTGCAGACAGTGTGAGGGCGAGGGGCCCATGGGGTCGTTGGGAGCATAGCCCCCTCACCTGAGCTTGCTCCACCTGTGGGCCCCATTGGTCATGGTGAAGCCGCCTGTCTCCAGCTGCTGGATGTGCATGGCCAGGAGGCGGGCTGAGGGCAGCGTGGGCTGGGCCCGGAAGCGCCGTCCTTCCATCAGACACAGGCTGTCACTCTTCAGGAAGACCTGAGGACCCAGCCAGGGGTGTGGGGAGGGAGGGACGGATGAGGTGTCAGCCCAGGGCACTCGGCTCCCCCAGTCTGGGTTGGAGCTAGTACTCCCCCTGCAAGGGGCTGCACAGCAGTGATTTACATCTGATCCTCACTGTGCCTTGGATGATTGGATCGGGGTCAAAAGTCTGGATGTCTGAAGCCCGCAGACACCAGGGGAACGCGGACATCCCTTGGAAAGCTACACACTTCCTGGCACCAGAAATGGCAAACTTGTATCCTAACTGACTCTCTCTGGGCTCCAGAAAATAGCCGGGTGACCCAGCTGCCCCAAGGGGGCCAAGACCCAGGCTGCCTGGCTTCAGGGACCTGTTTCTGGTGTCCACTGAGGACACATGCCAGCCCTCCCACCCCATGGAGAGCTGTTTGGGGCCTTGGCTGCAGTCTGCTCCTAGGGCCTCCTCCGGGGAAATGCCCAGCCTTCCAGTGTTTGCTCATTTGTGACCTCAGGAGGCTGCAAGGAGGCGAGCAGGTCAGCTAAGCTCAGTTTGGTCCTCTGGGCACCTGTACCCTGTGCACTGGCCCCACAGTCTGTGCCCTGTGGGGAGATGGGCAAGACTGGGCCAGCTCTGGGTGGGGGTGTGGGTGGCTGTGTGGTCTGGGGGCCGTGATGCAGGCTCTGCCTGGTGAGCCCCCCAGAGATATGCAGAGCATGTCCGCAGGGAACGCCCCAGGTGGACACAAGCTGCCAGAAGCTCATGCACAGCACCAGTACCTCCACGGCTTTCAGCTCTTCCATGACCTCCGCTATCTTCGCGGGTAAAATTCTCCAGGCCTGAAATTAAAGCACAGGTGAGCCCCCTGCGGCCACAGTGCCCACATGCCCGCCGTGGCCAGTGGCTCTCCAGGGTGACTCACAGGGGACTGCCTCACGGCCAGGTGCTCCAGGCCTCCCAGAATCTGCATGGCTGTCGCGAAGTTCCTCTGCTCATAGGAAGATTTTGCAATCAGCAAAAATTTGGACAGCAAATTCACCTGCAACTGAAACCAGAGAAGGACATACTCAGGGTCCTCTGATTTAAGACAAGCTGGTAGAGAGCCTCTGGGGACCCGTCAGAGTAACCCAGCGCCAGGCACACGGGGCGGTGAGGGCCCCACCACCTGTGTGGGAAGCAGGTGGTGAGTGGGCTTAGGTCTGGGGGGCGGTGGCCGTGATGAGGCAGGAGGACAGGCATGACTTGAAAACACAAAACAGAAAGGCAAGTGCCCCATAAGCGTAAAGATGTGAAAAGAAGTCAACCTCACTCTTCAAAAGCAAAGTCACTCCCAAGACAAACCTGTGCTCTAGGAGCAGGACAAATGGGGGAGGCGGCACAGCTTCAGGACCGGAAGGGCACCCGGCTGGGGGAGAGGGAGCCGATGCCCCTAGTGACCATCGGGAAACAAACAGGCAGCTTCTCATTTTCTGCCTGGCGGAGTCTACTGCTCCCCAGTTTTCAGAGCCTGACGGGTGGGGATGGGGTGGGTCTGGTTCCACGGGTCAGCAGATTTGACGGGAACACCCCACAGGGTTCTCATTCCTGGCGGGGCACACCCTTTCAGAGCTGCCTCACCCTATGAACTGTCACCCGGGCCGGGGGCCACCCTTCAGGTGGAGACAGTGCCTGTGGGTCCCAACCACGTGCCTCTGCACTGGGCTTGACCTTGTCTGCGCAGATTCCGATGCTCTCAAGGGTCACACGGACGGAAGCTCATTCACCCTGGTGGCCTCCCATTGTCCAGCTGCGTGCCTCTTAGAGGATCTTGAAAAACATTTGCTCGCTTATACTTTTTAAGTCGACATCCCAATTTTTTCTTCATATATTTAAACAGATGCAAAATATGTACTTTCCAGCACTTTCAGATAAAACTGTTCCATCATGTTTTTTTTTTTTTTTTTTAAATGTTTGTGGTAAAAAACGCGTAATGTAAAATCTACTCTTGAACCATTTTTAATATAGCTCAGTAGTGTTAACTACACTCTCCTGCTTGTGTCACAGCTTAGAACTCTGTTTTGTGAAACTGAAACTGCAAGCATCAAACCCCTGCTCCCCATCCCTCGCCCCCCAGCCCCCGGCGCCCAGCCTTCTACTTCCTGGCTGTGTGATTTCAACCACTCCAGGGACCTCCTGGAGTGGAATCAAGCAGTATTTGTCTTTCTGTGACTGGCTTACTTCCCTGAGCGTAAAGTCCTTTGGGTTCATCCACGCTGTAGCCTGTATCAGGACTTCATTCCTTTTTAAGGCTGAAGGAGATTCCCCAGTACAGACAAACCCCATTTGGTTTATCCATTTCTCTGTGGTGGACATTTGGGTTGCTTCTTTCTTCTAGCTGCTCTATCACTTGAAAGACTATCTGATTAAACCGAAATCCAGTTTTGCCTTCAAATCCACCATTATTCATCTAAAAAAAAAGTCAGCAAGCTTTTCCTTAAGGTGACAAGCTTCACACCGTTTCTTTTTCTTCTTCACCTGTTTTTCCATTCTGTGCCCCCAAGGGTGTCATCTCCATGGACTGCACGGTTACCACCAAGGACATTTAATGACTGCCCGTTGTATTCTCTGGCTCAAAATTTGAATTTTAGCCATTTTCTTGACAACAGCATACAAAAATGAAAGTCTTCTGGATTGTTCTGACATTACAGTAAGTAACACACAATATGTGAACAACATATCAGAATGTGACAAACACCTTTGTCCAAGGTCCACGTGCAGTTTCATTAGAAACCCGGCTCCCACTCTTTCTCCCGTTGGTTCCTACATGTGGGTGTGTTGCTCATTTGAATAATTCTGTCCTTTGCTTACAGGGATGCGGGAGCCCTTTCACGACAATGGAAGGAGTTCTGCCCTGGTGACACCATGAGTCCTTCCAAGCTGGGTGCCAACAACTGGGTGTGCATCTGTTGATCTGTTCCACTGTGCTGACCACGCAGGCCTGTAAATGTGTCATGCCTCTCTGTGTTGACCTGCTGGGCAGGGAACATGCAGACTCAGGACACAGAGCCCATCTTCTCTCTTGGGCTGGGAAGGGGCCTGCCCTCTCTCTTTTTGGGGGCTCTGATGTAGGAATACTCCTGGGAAGCTGAGGTCCATGAAGTGACTGTTGACTGTCCTTGGTCAATTCTCATTGGAAGTCCTTGTGAAGCCCAACCACACAAGCCCCTGTTTGAAGACCCTGATTTAGGGAAGCCACATCTCGATGTCACTCGTGATATCTGTAATGTTGTGGATTAGAACAAAGTGGGTAAAGCCCAGGGTCCCTGTTCCCACATCCTGGCAGAAATGAGGATGGGTCAGTCTGTTGGCTAACAAATCCCTAAAGCTTGAAAATTCTCCCCCAAGGGGGAAAAAGTAGAAAACTCTGCATATATTAATGGGCCTTGGGTTGCCCTGTGGGTTTGGGGTGAGCGGAAACATGGGGGAACATTAGAAAGACAAATTGCAGAGGCTGTTAATGCAGGAATAGACTTATCTTCACTTTGCTGTCTGATGAGGAGGTGGTGGCCTCTGCGGCCTCTGGGGCAGCTAGGGCAGAACAATGGTGCCCTCCCACCCCTGAGCGCCCCCTGTGATGCTCTGCCCAGGGGCAGCAGCAGAGGGGATCACGCTTGAGGAGACCTGTTATTTGGGCCAGAGTTTGCTTTAAGGGAGCTGCCGCCTGTGGAGTGGTGGGTGTCTCCCCACGGGAAGGGGCTGTGTTACACAGGAGGAGCCCTCGTGGTCCCAACTGTCATTCCTCTGTGTGCCAGGGTGGCCTCTTCATGTGGGCAGGACTCCAGTGATGCTCCCTCCCACTGCTTGCCTCAGGTAGCAAGAAACTGGAGGCCTTGGCAATAGGGTGTTGACTGGGTGGAGGTGCAGGTGCACAAGGGGCTGGGGGGCTCTGTCCTCCCTCAACCCTCCTGAGTGGGTGGGAACCTGGAAGGAGGCGCTGGCTTTGAGGCGGGTGACTGTCCTTGGCCTGCCCAGTACCCTGCCTGAAGCAGGTGAGTGAGTTCAGGCTGAGATACCCACAGTCCAGGCCAAGAGAGGCCCGAGAACAGCAAGAGCTTGACCTTGACTGGACCGCTGACCCGTGTTTCATTTATTCCACAGACCGGCTGAGAACACACACTGCACTCCTGCAGGGGATGTGACAGTGACGGGGAATGTGACTAAGTTGGTTCCCACTCTCAGAGAGTTCAGGTTAGTGGGACACTTGGGAGTCACAATTCCCAGCCCCGGGACCTGGCTCAGGCAGGAGTGTGGAGGGAGCCCCCTAGGGGTGCACTCTGAGCCCTGAGTGTGAGCGTGAGAGTGTGTGAGGGGCTGCGAGTGAGCAGGATGGTGCGAGTGCGGGAGAGGGCATGTGTGTGACAGGGAGTGTGTGTCAGGAGGGTATGGGTGTGGGAATGTGTGAGAGGGAGCACGTGTGTGAGTGTGAGGGAGTGTGTGAGTGTGAGGGGTATGTGTGTGAGAGGGAGTGTGTGTCAGGAGGGTATGTGTGTGAGAGGGAGTGTGAGTGTGAGGAAGTGTGTGGGTGTGAGAGGGAGCACGTGTGTGAGTGTGAGGGAGTGTGTGAGTGTAAGGGGCATGTGTGTGACAGGGAGTGTGTGTCCGGGAACCTGTGGGAAAATCTATGTGGGTAACAGGGACTATTTAGGAGAGTTTCTGTGTGTCAGAGAGATAATGTATGTAAAAGCAATAGTGTGTGTGAGTGTGAGGGGTATGTGTGTGAGTGTGAGAGGGAGTGTGTGTGAGTGTGAGGGGTATGTGTGTGAGAGGGAGTGTGTGTCAGGAGGATATGGGTGTGAGAGGGAGTGTGAGGGGGTATGGGTGTGAAGGGGTGTATTTGTGTAAGGGGTGCATGTATCAGAGTGTATGCACACGTGTGACTCTGTGTGCACACACGTATGTGTGAAAGTTCCATGGAGGAGAGGCTTTGAAGAGCCACGGCAGGCTGGGGGTGTGACAGGCGGCACACGCTGGAGAGCTGGATGGTGTCTGACGTCACCACCAACAAAAGCTGTGACACTACTTTTATGCTTTGCCTTGGGTTGAGTCTGGATTCCCTGCACTTGGGAGAACATTCGACTGGGGGTTCCACAGAAGGCACCACGTGTCCACGCGGCTCTACCCCAAACCCTTCTCTGAGATGGGAGCTGCCGAGGCACCAACCTTGGAGGTGTGGCTGGTCACAATTTCAGCTGCCACCCAGGTGCTGACGTCATCTGCACTTCTCAAAAGCTGTAATAGGTACTTGTCCTGCACGTAATTGGGCAGAAATAAGCTGCAGGTTTTGGCTGACAGAGACTCGGAGGAGCTGGCTCTGGAAGAGACACAGGTGCACATCACAGCGAGGACGTGTGGAGGTGGCCCGGCCCAGCCCTGGGGTTGCAGGGGGCTCTCCAGATCCACGTGGGGCCGGCAGGATGGGCTCTGTGGAGAGTGGAGGGCCTGGCTCCGAGGCTGTTCATGACACCAGCGTCTCCCTTTGGCCACCAGTGTCCATGAGGCACTCAGGTGAAGCCCCCAAGACCCTGCCACCAGCCATCTGTCCCAGGACTCTGGGATGACACCCGACAGGTGAACACTCACTTGGGGATGGCCACACTTTTGTCCATGACGCCCAGGGCCCGTGAGTTTAAGAAGTGGACGGGATGGCACTTTTGAAATAATTCCTGTCAGAGACAAGGACACAGATGTTCAGCCCTTTCCCGGGGGCCTTGTGGACAAGGCAGCATCTCTAGGGGATTCTCTACCTGCCCGGCCGTGATGACAGCAGGTAGGATGACAGGAGTCACCATCACTACTGTCGCCTGCCAAGCGACGCAGGGCCCGGGATGGTGGGGAAGGGGACACCTGGGGGCGGGGCTCGGGTGGGCGCGGGGGCGCCAGGAGGGAGGAGGCCGGCAGGGCGCCCTCTAGCGCTTGCGAGCTGGGAGTGTCCGGGACGGGGGTGCAAGTTGGCCGCGGGAGTGGCGGTGTGCCGCCAGAGCCATGCTCCAGCGCTGTCCCCACCCGCCCCCTGCCTGTGCATCTGGCCCCATTCATGGCCCTCACGTGTCCCTCCAGCACACATCAGAGCACCAGAGCGTCCCTCCCCGTGACGCCCCTGCAGGTGAGCTGTGTGCAGGCCCATCACCTGTTGCAGAAGTGTTAGCTGGCTGAAGAGCTGGTGGGTGCTGTACTCGGTCAGGAAGTAGGGGCCCTTCTCGTTGGCCTTGGCATAGGGGCCGTAGAAGTCCTCGAAGAAGCAGGGCTTGGGCAGGGCAGACGCAATGGTGTACTGGCGCTCCTTGTGGTGTGGCAGTGCCAGCCCGTTGCCCCGGGACAGCCTCCACGGGAAGCTCTGTGGGGCAAGGTCAGGCTGTGCTAAAGGGGCCGTCAGCACAGCTGGTCCTTTCCAGGTGGGCAGCCTGGCGGGGGTGGGGCAGGGGGAAGACCAGGCTGGCTCTGGGCCTGGGACTCTTCAGGCTGGCTCAGCTAGAGCCACAGAGCAAATCCCTCCTGCCTGTGGCCATGTTGGCTCAAGGACACTGTCCTGGTCATTTCAGCAGGTCCCCCATGGACAGAGCCACTGAAGTTTGGGGCCGTCCCCATATAGTACAGACAGGGCCCTTCAGACCTGGCCCCCATCCCAGGCCATTTCCTGATGATGGTGTCTCCCACCCAGACCTCTGGCCTGAGGGTCAGGAATGTTAGGTCATCTGAGGAGCTGGCCTGGGCTCCCCGGCTGTCCTGTCCTTGAGCAGGGTGAGGGGCAGGAGGTGCCAGCCTTACAGGGCTGGTACCTACGACTGGCAACGTGGGGAGCATGTGGGTACATGCAGGCGGTGTGCCCGTACGTGTGTTCGCGCGTGTGCACGCACTCTCTGTGTTCTCTGGGCTCAGGGCGCTGCACTGCCCGCCCCCGGAGGCCCTCCCCTGGGGAAGGCCCCCACCTTCCGGGAGACGCCGTCTTCTGAGAGCCTCTTACAGAGGGCACTGAGGGGTCTGCCGTCCTCCTCGGCTCCCTTGGGGTCCTCCAGGTCTGTGCCACGGGAGGTGCCCTCGGCCCGCCGGTCAGTGCCCACCTCCAGGAGGCCCAGCAGGTGCTCCGCGGAGCCGTCCAGTGGCAGGATCTGGGCAGAAGCACAAGGCAGTCGCTTGCCACCCAGACGAGGGTGGTGGCTCTCACCCCAAGTGCTGCCCGCGGAGGAGGAGGGGCTGCTCAGGCGCTCTGCCTGTGCTCACCTTGGAAGAGATGAAGTCCTCAAGCCTGCCCAGGAGCCCGGTGTTCCGGGTGAAGTCCACAGCATAGCAATCTTCCAGCCAGGCCTGCAGGAGGCAGAAGCTTCGCTTGTAGATCTTGGTGAAGGTCGAGGTGGGGTCCTGGTGGGCCCTGCAGGCAGAGAGGAGGAGACCTAAGCCGTGCAGGGTCCCCCGCTGGCCCTGTGAGACCTGCCGCCCAACGCCGCACTCGGGCAGACGGCTGCCTGTGGGCACACTGCCAAGCAAGGGGGCGTGAGTGGGGTCTGAGCGTGGCTCTGTCTTTGAGAACGATTTCAGCCCTACCCTCCTGTCTCAGGGGATGGGAGAGACAGCCAGTAGGTGCCCAGCGGGGCCCCGGGCTCAGTGACCAGGACAGGAGCCTGCTGCCTCTCCTCCACCCTTGCCCGGCGCCCAGTCCTGGAGCACCTGTCACCCCCTGCAGCCAGGCCCCGAGATGCCAGGGGTCTGGGAGGCAGCGTGCAGGCGCTGCATAGGAGGTGGAGTGGGAGCCTGGCTCCACAGGTGGAGGTCTCTCCTGTGATTCCCTGCCCCCAGGGAGGGAGTGCACAGGGAATCTGGCGGTGATGCCAGGCCAGCTCAGAGAACAGGCCAGAGCACGTCCATCTAGCTTCTCCACTGACCCCAACCCTCGGCTGCCCATGTGTTGCAGAGGAAGGCTGAGGGCTGGCAAGACCCTCATCCCCTTCGGCCGCCCTCCTCCAGCTGACGGGCTTGGCACTCACCCGTCTCCTACCTGCCCCCGCCCCCACCTCCCCCCACCCTCCCCTCCCCCATTAGCATCAGCGGCCTCTCTCTGGCCACTCTCCCCTCCTGCCACAGCTGGCTCCCTTCTCTGGGGCCCCGTGTCCCCTATCCCTGCTCTTCCTTCTCCCACCAGGCTCTGCCCTCATCCTTGTCAGGGTCACCAGGGACCCCCTCGCCCTTCATAGTCACTAACAAGGTGCCACGGGGTCCACCCTGTGGCTGTGTCACCCCTTGTGGGGTCCTGGGTCTGTGGCCGTACCTGGACAGGGTGCTGTTGATGCGGTCCAGGAGGAAGTGCAGGAAGTCCTGGGGCGTGCAGAAGTACCGGAAGGTGTAGAGGAACTGCTGTACGTACCCCTCCAGGAAGGCGTCACTGGAGCCGAGAGGAAGTGGTCAGACCACAGGGACGGCTGCAGCGCGTCCTCCAGCCCTGCTGGCCCAGGGCCAGGCCCCCGGCTCGCAGGTTCTCCCCACACCCGAGCAGCCAGTCCTGGCAGCCCTGGCAGGCCTCTCCTCCCACCAGACCTTACCTGTGCTGCAGGTAAGTGGGGGAGGCCCGGCTCCCCGCAGCCTTCCTTAGCAGTTCTGGGGTAAATGTGTGAAACAGAGAGCGTGTGATGTGCATGAGCGTGAACGCGTGTGTGTTCTCTGTGTGTGAGCGTGTGCATGTGTGCCCTTGCCAGGAGGATGGCAGACAAGAAACCACTTGGAGAAGTAGAAGGTGCATGTGGAGGGCTGGTAACATCAGGGACTCCCGGTGGGAGGATCTTCTTTGCCACTGATATTTAAGGCACCCTCACTCTCTGCTTCTAGAACCTATTCAGAAAACTCCTATGCATAGGCAGCAACTCCAGCCCCCAAATTGGAACTCACTGCATTAGAAATGAGAGTGGCAGTTTGTGCCCCAAAGTTCTCAGTTTCTTCATGGCAAAACCAGGTAGTTGAGGGAAGGAGGGTCCTTACGCTTCACCGAGCATCCCCCACCCTCAGGGGTGCCCCAGGGAGCCCCAGGTCGGGCGACACCATGCAGGTCAGTGACTGAGTCTCGGAAACAAGAAAGGTGCGTGGGTCCTGGCAAGGCTGCCTCCCCAGCCACTGGAAGGTGCTTCAGAGTGCAGACATGATGTCTGAAGAATGAGGGAGGTCAGCCACCCAGTCACCCTGGGGCTTCTGTGGGCTGGGGATGCTGTGGCCGGGGTCAGGCCCAGCCTGTGAAGATAAACCACACGAGTGAAGGCTCTCCCCTTGTTGGAGGTGCTGTGTACAAACACACAGCACACAATGCAAGAGCCCTCAACACACACACACCCCATGCACATATGCACACACCCCACTCACCCCCCCCCACGCACACACACACCTCATGCACACACACACCCCACCCACACACATGCACACACAAGTCTCCTGTAATCACATAGCCAACCCTCGGTGTGTGTGGTATATCCATCTTGCAAAGGGTATACCTGGGCCCCCGGCCAGTGGAAGGCTCCCAGCACAGCCAGGTGCAGTCCACCTCAGGAGTTCAGGCTACAGGGGCAGAGGCTGCTGTCCTGGGAGGCCTGGAAGGCCCCTGCTCTCAGGGACTTCCCTTGTTCCCCGACAGCCCCCAGTGTTCCCTGCTGACACCTGACCATCAGTTCTGGGGTCACCACAGCCTCCAGCTTAAAGAAGGCCTCAGGGGCTCCCAAGTGTGTCATGGGTCTCCCAAAGCCAAGACTGGGTGAGGCCTCCCACTACTGCCTGGGAAGGTAGTGTGTACCCGACCCTGAACTGCTGGGCCCCGTGCCTGGGAATGGGCCAGGCCATTGGGTCAAGGGAACCTGCCAGGAGGTCCTGTGCCTGCATACCAGGTGAACACTAGAGGTCTATCCACACAGGACATGTGACCGTGCCGATGGACAGGGTGGGGGTGTCCTGAGGGTGCCTGTGACCCTGGGTGTGAGGGGACTGGCCCTCCCTGCTGCAGGGTGAGCATGCACACCTTGCACATCAGTTAGGGTATCTGATGAAACAACGTTGTGCTCATGCCCAGAGACAGTGGCTGCAGAAGTAATTCAATGACTGTGCTGAGACCAACCTCCCTGGCGGTCCCTGGGGAGCTAGACGATTAATTGTGGGGTGTTTTCACCTGGCAAAGTGGCTGGGATCCAGGTATGTTTCTGAGGCTCCTGTGTGTGTTTAATTTTAGAAGAACCCTGGGTTGTTAATTGTGCATGGCCACATTCCCCGGCTCTCCTCCCGGCACCTGTCCGGGCGCACCTGAGATTCCAGGTGCAGGTCCAGCCAAGAGCTTGGCAAAGGAGACAAATGGCAGCTGACACAGGCCACTTAAAGTTCTGATGAAAACATTTTTAAATTAAAAGAAGTATAAACCCATCTCAGATGAGGGAAGGCAGAGACTTTTCTCACCTTGCTCACCTCCTGGGGGCCTGTTTCTTTTTTTCTGTCTCCCTTTTGCTTTCAAAAGGCATGAAGGGGTCCAGGGAATCCCACAGGCCCACCTCCCCACTTGGGGCATGGGAGGCCGCACCTGGAGTAGAGGTATGCCATGAGCCCCAGAGGCGTGCCGGCCTGCAGGACGCGGGCCTTCCTCTGCTTGCCGCCACGCGGGTGCTTGCTGACGTTGTAGAAGATGAGGGACGAGGACTCATCCAGGGGGCTGAAATCCAGTGTGTCGCAGTGGGCCGCGGAGATGTTCACAATCACGGGCAGGGCGCAGGGCTCCAGGCCCCACCGCTCTGCGTACATGACCTGTGTGTGCAGGGAAGCAAGCTGCCTCTGTCTGGTTGGCCTGCTGCCACCAGGTGCTGGCAGGACGCGGGCGCTGGGTCACCCTGCTACTGACGGGGCGGGGGCGGGGGGTCAAGGGGGTTAGGGATTCGGGCCGACTTGCCTGCAGGTACTTCTTGACCAGTCCCAGGAACTGCACTTTGCACTTCATTTCTTCCAGCTGCCCTCTCAGTTTGGACAACATGGTCTTCACCTCGGAGCCTGGGGGCGGGCAGAGTTGGCACAAAGCGGGCCCCAGCCCCCCGGAGCGCCTCTGCCCGGCCCCGAGCTACCTTTACTGCGCTTCTCCTTCTGCAGGAGCTTCTGGTAGAACTTCAGCGTCTTCCGGTAGTTCCTCTTCTCGATCAGGAGCTGCTGCTCTAGCTCCTGCCACGAAACAGCCCGTGAGCCCTGCAAGCGCCCGCCCCCGCGCGCACCGCGCTTTTCCGCGTGGTCGCGGAAGGTGGCCTTCCCGCAGGGCCCGCACGGAACCACAGTGCGGGACACGTCCCGCGCGGGGACACCAGGGTTCCCACGGGACCTCACAGGGACGCCGTCGTCATCCAGCCACAGAAACAGTCTGTGTGCGCCACGGGGACGTGAATTCCGACGAGGGGACTAGGAAATGTCGCCGAAGTGGGGGTTGGAGGCTAGCAGGGGACATCTCGGCAGCGCCGCTCTGGGTGAAGGGCAGACCCAGCAGGGACCCGGCAGGTGGACACACTACCGGGGATCGACTAGGAAGGTTTCCTCCGGCCCCCGCAACAGCCCAGCCAATGAGAGACGCTCAGGGCCCAGCCAATGAGAGACGCTC